TCTCAGTCACTCCGGCGACCCCACCGTTTAAAATCCGGGATCACCGTCATCTTGACTTTGACTTGACTTGACAGGCCTCGGTTGCTATGCGTCCCTCTTTCTCATGGATCTCGTCAAGCTCGTCTCTAACCTCTTAACGAGTGGACCAAAATCCCGCTACTTTTCACAAGTCCGAAAAGTGAAAAGTAGCGGGATTTTGGTCGCGACTGTCAAAAGTAGCGGAATCACAAACTACCCCAATAGAGGTAGCGGGATTTCGGTGGAAATTCTATGTTTTTCCTCTCCCTCTTTTGGTCTATTTTCAAGTCCAATAAGTAGCGGAAAAACATGAATTTTATGAAAGAGGTAGCGGAAATGACAAAAATAGCGAAATATGTAGTTGAATATTAAAAGTGCACTTTGAACGCCATAAAAGATTGTGACGGGTGCTGATGTCACAAAATCAACCGCACAAATGTCCAATTTTTTCCTGTTTCTTCTTCTTATTTTGCGGACTCTGTCCCTTACTAATACTTCAAAATCCCTCGTACTCATTCAGGTTGATTTCAAGGACTATGAAGACCCGTGGCGGTGGTCCGCAGCTGCGCCCAATGGAGAAAATTGGAGCAGGAACCCCGTTCGATTCGGGCTCGGGTCATGGAACGAAACAAAAATATTTTTGGATGAACTCTCAAATTTTTATTACTGAGGGCTGGATGCATCTGCGGATCTTGAGTGATTTTCTTCGGGGCTGTTGATTGATTTCCTCGGGCTTGTTGAGGATGAGGATCATCGTGGGAGAGGGTGAGTAAGAAAATGTAGAGTAAGGGAATGCAGAGTGAGGAAGGAAGGATTGAGTAAGGAAACTCACAGTAATGATTGAGCAACCAGGAAACTCGACGTGCGGCCGTTGGTTGAATGAGTGAAGGAATGAATGCTTGGATGAAGTGCGCAGCCCGTGTTGAGCGGGGTTCCTCTTACATACTTTTCAACAGAAAGGCGGCGCTCTGACAGGATGCGGCCAAAAAGTGTTCCGATACGAGGAGTCGAATCCCGGGCAAGTGCGAATCGCAATATCCAAACTGCCCTAAATATACTCCAAAAATCGATCACACTTATTCAGGTTGAGTTCTAGGGATATGAAGACCCGTGGCGGATGGTCCGCGCCTGTGCCCAATCCAAGGAGTCCATGATGAGTGCAGCAGGAACCCATTTCGGGGTCGGGTCATCGCATGAAGTGCTCACATTTTTGCCTTGTCCACTAAATTTTTCTCAGACAGTTTTAGGAACCACCCCTGCACATGGTGATTTCATCGTCTCCGATCCTTTGCAAATGTCCATCTTCTCCTCCTTTCGTTGATGCCCCCCAAAAAATCATCGCATTTATTCAGGTTGAGTTGTAGGCACAGGAAGACCCGTAGCGATGGTCCGTACCTGCACTCCTTCAACGATAATTTGAGAGTTGAGCAGGAGCCCGTTCGATTCGGGCTCGGGTGATGGTACGCAAATATGTTTGCCTCATTTTCAAATTTTCTATCAGGCTTATGCAGCTCAATTCACAGAATAGCGAAGACCTGTGGCGGATGGTCCGTGCCTGTGCTCCATTCGACACTTGTGACACTTACAGCAGGAACCCGTTCGATTCGGGGTCGGGTCATTGTCTGTCGTGCCAGCTTTTTTACCTCGTTTCTCTACATTTTGATAAGTTATGTAGGTTGATTTTAGGGATATGAAGACCCATGGCAGTGGTCTGCGTCTGCCCAGTGCCAGGATAAAATTGTAATACAGCAAGTCGCCTGTTTGATGCGGGGTCGGGTCATTTCTCTTGGTCCAAAATCTTTTACCTCATTCTCCGAATTTCGATTTGACTTGCTGCAGTTGGCTTCCAGGATAAGAAAGACCTGTCGCCGGTGTTCTTCTTTTGTGGACTACACCCCTTACTTAAACTCCAAAATCCAGCACACTTATTCAGGTTGATTTCTAGGATAAAGAAGACCTGTGGCGGATGGTCCGTACCTGCACCCAGTAGGCTTGCATTTATCTTCTGCAGTAGAAACCCGTTCGATTCGGGGTCGGGTCATGTGTCTGTCATCCGTGCCATGCAAATTTTTCACCTTACTCCCGGGAATTCTTCTGAAACTTATTTAGGCTGATTTCTAGGATATGGAAGGCCCGTGGTGGTGGTCCGTGCCTGCACCCAGTGAGCTTGCATTTGCCTTCTGCAGCAAGAAGCCCGTTCGATTCGGGGTCAGGTCATGTTTCTTCATGCTAGGTTTTTTACCTCATTCTTCAATTTTTTGATGAGTCATTCAGGTTGGATTTACAGATTGAGAAGGATGCAGGTTGGATTTGAAGGATTGTGAAGGATTGTGAAGGGTGCTGATTTCACAAATTCAGCGGTGCAAATGACCAATTTCCTTCATGTTCTTCTTTTGTTCACTCTGTCCACTAAAGTTGCATCACACTTATCCAGGGTTGAATGCAAGGGGCATGGAGACCCATGGCGGTGGTCTGCACCTGCATTTCATGGAACTTGGATTTTCAGCAGTGCAGCAGGCAACCCATTCGATTCTGGCTCAGGTCATGTAGTAGTAAACAGAATTTTTGTTGCCTCGTTCTCTGGATTTATCACACTTACCCAGGGTTGATTTCAAGGTTAACGAAGACTCATGGTGGACGGTCTGCACCTGTGCCCAATACATCTAGCCCGACGAGTGAGGGAGGGAACCCGTTCGATTCGGGTCAGGTTATGGCCCTTTGAAGTAGCACTTGTTTTTGCCGCGTTCTTGATTCTCTTAGAATTGTGTAGGTTGGTTTCTACTAGGGAGGGGAAAGATGCAGATTTCACAAATTCAACTGTGCAAATGTCCCCTTTTTTTCGCGTTCGTCTTTCGTTGACTCTGCCCGTTACAATTTCATCACACTTATTAAGGTTGCAGTCTGGGCATAGGAAGACCCATGGCAGTGGTCCGCACCTTTCCTCAATGCACATTTCCTGGAGTATACTAGGCAACCTGTTCGATTCAGGGTCGGGTAATTCTCGTGTAGCAGCACTTGTTTTTGCCGTGTTCTCAAATTTTCCATCAGGCTTATGCAGGTTGGGGAAGGATGCTGATTTCACAAAATCAACCGTGCAAATGTCCAATGTTTTCTCCTTCTTTCGTTGACGCCCAAAAAGAAAATCACCTTGCTTATTCAGGTTGAATTCAAGGATAATGAAGACCCCTGGCGGATGGTCCGCGCCTGTGCCCAATAAATGTTTTGTGCCAAACTTGAGCAGGAACCCGTTCGATTCGGGGTCGGGTCATCCTGCATTTTTGCCTCATTTTCAAAGATTTGATTTGACGTGTTGAAGTTGAGTTCTAAGGTAAGGAAGACCCGTGGCAGATGGTCCGCACCTGCAACCAATAAATGTTTCTTGCCACTTGAACAGGAAACCGTTCGATTCGGGCTCGGGTCATACCTTGGCTCGCAAAGTTTTTGCCCTCGTTCTCTGACTTTCAATGAGGGTTATGCAGGGCGAATTCAGGACATAAAGAAGACCCGTGGCGGTAGTCCGCACCTGTGCCCGATCAAAAATCATGACACGTGCAGCAGGTCGCCTGTTCGATTCAGGCTCGGGTCATACCTTGGCTCGCAAAGTCTTTTGTCCCCGTTCTTTGATTGTTGATGAATTATTCAGGTTGCATGCAAAGGAGATGAAGACCTGTGGCAGTGGTCCGCGCCTGTGTCCAATACAAGGAATGGAAATATGCAGCAGGAACCCGTTCGATCTGGGGTCGGGTCATTGCTCTTGGTCAAAAAACTTTTTTACCTCCTTCTCGGATTTTTGATGAGTTATGTATGTTGATCTCAAGGGTAATGAAGACCCGTGGTGGATGGTCCGCACTTGCACTCAGTCAGGAATAGCGACGGAGCGTATGTATAGCTGGGAACCCGTTCGATTCGGGCTTGGGTCATAGCTCTTTGTCGCAGTATCTTTTTGCTCTCGTTCTTTGAATTTTGTTAGGTAAATTGAAGGCAAATTCAAGGGTAAGGAAGACCCGTGGTGGTGGTCCGCACCTGTACCCAATATAGTGTATACATCACTGTGGTAAATACAGCAGGAACCCGTTCGATCCGGGATCGGGTCATATTCGTGCTTATTAGCGTTTTTTGCAGCTCTTTCTCAGAAGTTATTCAGGTTGAAGAATGCCAGGATCGACAGGGATTTTATAAAGCACAACCTTGTTATACTTTCTTCTTCTTCTTTTTCTTTCGTTGACGCTGCCCACTAAAATTGCATCACACTTATTCAGATTGATTTCAAAGGAGAGAAAGACCCGTGGCGGTGGTCCGCTGGGCCCAATAACCCGTCTTGGAGTAAATTGCAGCAGGCACCCCGTTCGATCCGGGGTCGGGTCATAGTTCTGATTTGTTGGATTTTTGGGCCTCGTTCAACTCTCAATTTTCTTAGACAGGTGCAGGTTGATTTCAAGGTATAAAGAAGACCCGTAGCGGTGGTCCGCGCCTGTACCCAATATAATGTTGCTGGCTTCTGCAATGAGCAAGTCGCCCGTTCGGTTCAGGTTCGGGTCATGTTTCGAGAGTGCCTCTTTGTTTTTAGGCCGGATGCATGTGCAACCTGATAAGTACCTTTTTTTTTATGGCTGAGGGTGGATTGATGCATGTGCAACACTTGATTGATTTTCGGGCTTGGTGATTGATTTTCGCGGGCTTGTTGAGGATAAGGATCATCGTGGGAGAGGGTGATTAAGGGATGCAGAGTAAGGTTGAGTAACGGAATGCAGAGTGAGGAAGGAAGAATTGAGTATGGCCAAGGATTGAGTAATAAGGAACACGACGTGCGGCCGTTCAACGTTCCGGCGCGACGTGGTTGAACGAGTGAATCCAGGAACGGACGAATAAACGGACGGTCCGTGCTGAGCGGCGTTCCTCGTACAGCGGAGGCAAACATTTACCTTTCAGCAGAAAGGCGGTGCTCTGACAGGACCCAGGACCTGAACCCGGGCCAAAATGCGTTCCGATACGGGGAGTCGACCGGGCAAGTGCACATTCTTTCATTCGGGCGAATGAAAGGCACCTATGTTACCGCTACACCATGTCGGAGCGGCGTGGTTCGGTTAAGTTGGGTGTGTAGGTAGGTAGGTCCAGAGGGAGATAAGAAGACGGCTGCAGTATGAGACGATTCGGGCGAAGGTTAGGTGGAGCATCAAGCTCATCATCAGGTCGCAAGCTGATGCGATATCCGGTTTTTTTTTTCTTTCGGCAAAACGGTCTTTTTCTTCGGGGATTACGTTTGTGCGCTGGGGTCCACGAGGTTGAATAAGTGAATCAGCAAGATTATCGCGCAAATCAAGTGGGTTGCGTCAATTTGATCTGCCATCAAAAATCTCATCGATCGATCAATATCGCCCTTTGCCTTCATCCACGACCTCGAACTCGGTACGTGAACCCTGCACATCTCACAGAACAACCTGACCAGGGAAAATCCACCAGATGTCATTACAACGCGCTCTTCCAGAACGCGCTACTAAAGAAGAGCGCGCTCTTGTCCTATTCACCCTCATGAATCCCATGCATGAGGATGCGTGCTGTGCTCTCGGATTGCGTGGGCTCCTCGATAAGGTCCTCTTCCGCAAGAATACAGAGGACGATCCACGTCAAGCTCCCGTTCTTAGGGCTGCCATGCGTTTCCTCTCTGCCACACGTTCCGCCGGAGAACATGCTGCGCTTCGGGAGCGGCTCACAAGACGCGATTGCAAGCAGAGTTCCCGTATCAGCCACCGTCGCGTCTCTCGTCCGCTCACCGAAATACTAGAGCTGATCCTTTTGGATCTCTGCGGAACGATGAGCGACTACTTCATGCGACTAGGCCCAGGCAAATTCCGGAAAGAAAAAAACAACCTACCCCAGAATGCGCAGCCCTGGCCAAGCCGCATTTCTGACGTCATTCCGACCTCGGGTGGGGAGACTGAGCTCCTCATAGCACTTGTTAATTGGGCCGCCACCGTTCCGGGTGGCCATAGCGTGTTCGCGCTCATCGGTGCTCTGGCGCGCTTCTGGGAGCCGTTCGCGATGCAGCTCTTCCAGTCCCCGGACGTCTTCCGCCTTGCAACCCAGCACCTGCGACACGCCCTGGATTCCTTTAAGACTGACGTCACTGCGGCGGAAGCAATGAATGCTTTCATATCCCCCGTGATTGCATGCGCACAGGGGCTCTTCTTCGCAATATTCGAGGTTAATATGCTCGCCACCATTGGGCTCTTGCCCCCGATCTTCGAAGAGATGTACGCCATCTCTGTGTCGATGGAGCCCATCCTGCTGGACATGAGGAATCAGAATCGCTTCTCGTTCTCGATGGACGACTGCCGCCGGTGGTTCGCCTTCGTCCGTCGGATGCGCCCAATTATCAGCCCTGACGGAACATTTATTACACTCGACCAAGCATCTCAGATCCCTCGAAAAACGGATGGCAACACGCACTATGTTGGCGCGTACATGCTCATGACGGAGATCCGCAATCGAAACCAGGCACGTTCTCTCCCTCTTCTCTTCGGTGTTACGCTACTAATCAACGCGCTTTCGCAGTGCATGCACATTAACTGCACATCCAAAATCACAGCACGCTCCTCTGTGTGCTCAGGCTGCCAAATCGTCCGTTATTGCGATCCCAAGGCACGCTACACATTCCGCTTTAGTTCTTCCTGCTCTCACGATGCGCCCACGTCCAGTGTCTCCGAGCCGCCTGGACCGCCCCTGAGCTCCCGCACAAACCACTTTGCAAGCACATCAAGAATCTCCGCGAAGCGACGGGCCTCGTTGACGACAAGGCGTGGAACCACATGGTGCGCGATACTGCCATACACCGCTCGCCTGAGGGATTCGTCAAAATCTGCGCCGCTCGCGATGTCGACCGTGGTATTGTGGAGGCAATCTTTACGGGGATTAGTCGTCTCACTCACGCCAAGATGGGTTTTGGGATGAAAGAGAGTCAGGTGGGCGAGGCGAAAATCGGGCCGGCGGCGTTCACTAATGCGGAGGAAGCCTCCCAAAATGGGGATGAAGCCGCCACTTCCGAACAATGAACCAGGACGTTAATAATCCCCAGGCCCTTTTCAACCTTGGAGCGGAAAAGGAAACTGTCGGATTTGCCCACTTGTCAACCAAACCTTAAACTATGCTTACCATTTATTGACCTTCCGATCCTTCGAACACGAAACACGAAACGCGTGTAAAACATTGTACATTGGCTGATTGGGACATCTATCTAAGTTGAAACAATAGACAAAGTGTAAACCTCGTCATCGTCACTTCCTGTGTTAACCGCGTAGGCCGTCGATCCACTTGGCACATCTTCGCTTGAGAAACTTGTGTTTCCATCGTAAGCTAAGAGGACAAGACCTCCGGAGGATACCTAACGTGAGCCGTCAGTACGGACAGATGGATATGAAAGGTGTATGTGTATCTACCGTGGAGAATTTGCTTGAAGTGACGCTGCTTCCACAGGCGAACACGCCGTCGCTGACCCCGCAATCACCCTTCGACGAGGATAGCGTGAAGCTTTTAGCAGTTCCAGACAGCGTATATGTGGCGACAGTTTGCGTTGACCAGGTGCCTAGCGAGAGCAACCCGCCAATTTGGGAACCATCCTGTACAGCGTGGATGGTCGCTTTCGTGGGGATCGCAGTTGGTGCGGCCTGCGGCACATTAGCCCGTCGATTCAACAATTTTACAAAAACAAAAATACTGACGGTCGTCGTGCTGGTAGTCTTTGTAGTCGTCGTAGCCTTTGTTGTCGTTGTAGCCTTTGTTGTCGTCGTAGTCTTTGTGGTCTTCGTTGTCGTACCAGCCGTTGTAGTAGAGACCGGAGTGCCGGTCTTCGTCAAGTATTTGAGGCCAGTGGACGCACAAGATCCAGCTTCAGGCGCATCTAGATAAAGCGACGTTGATACCAAGCAACCAATTCGAAACAGGAAGACTTACCTATCGGCACGAATGTCCCGTCGATGATGCTGCCTTTCATACAGTAAATGCACAGTCGCACACCACTCAAAACAAAAAAAAGTCCAACCTTTGAGGTGATAATAATATGAAATCTGGCTTATCGCGGTCCCATCGCAGTCGATAGCAGGAGTAAACTTTGCCAATCGTCAGCGAATTAGGAAAAAGGTGAGACGTGGCCACGTACGCCGAATCCCGCTTTGATAGCAGCGTTGAGACTAGCGAGCGTATGAGTGGTGCTGGACGACGGCTTGATACCAGCGTCCGAAAGCCACTGGTACGTAGGCAACGTCTTGAATAGTTTGACCACGGTGTTGAAAAAGATGACCGCCTCCAGGCAAATTAGCCCGTAAAGGTGTTGATTAAGAAGTGGGCCTTACTTCTGCTCCCTTCGCACTGTTACTAGGTAGACATTTGACATCCAGGGTGCTAAATAAAGTCTGAAACGAATGGTAAGAAGAATGGACGCGGCGTTCATACCTCATACAGGTTCCTTTGATGTCTCGGAATGAATTAAAAATCGAAAAGGCCAGGAAGCTCACCATGCTGAAAAACAGTTAGCGCTTGAGAGTAATTCTAAACTGTATTGACTGACCTTGGACCATTCATGCTCCCAGAAGGACTCGTCGTCGCCATTGATATCTTTCCAGAACTGAGCTACCGTCAGCACACCGTTATTGGATTGGTAATTTCATTTACCGTGTTCATGAAGTCCAGGGTATCACTGGCTCCTTGAGCACTCAACAACTGGATGCGGCGCATGAATAATGCATGACCAGCAAATATAAAAGCAGTACGTACGCCGCCAATATCCGTATAGGCCCTCGACGAATCACAGGTCGAGTCGAATGTCCCGTCACAGCTAGAAATTATCCCCTGAGATCTCTGGCGGGAATCCAAGGACTTAAACATACTGGTCGGGCCAGAGACCTAGGCAACTGGTATCAGCACCGTTCATTTGAAAGATTTGAAATGGCTCACCATGAATTGTCCAGCTATTGGAGGGTCCTGTCGACGGACTTGAATTGTTGTCAATAACGTTCGCGGTCTCCTGAACGAGGATAATTACTCGGTATCCCAGAACTTGGAAGACGAGCGAATTCAATTTCTGTTACGCAAGATTTCCGTGCTTTCTCACCTGAGTCTGCAGCAGTTGACCCTAATATTGCACGCAAATCATGAGATGTTCGTTCAATGAGCTTGGAGACGCACCCCAGGTGCTTGAAAGCAGCAGAGATTGGAAACAGCAGAGGAGTTCGTGCACGACGCAGTTCCTGTGGAAGAACATCCCGAGCTGATATCCGCCGCCCGCTTGAATAATTCCTCAGAATTCCACGGCGAAAAGAAGGGAGAGGCCAGGGAAGAGCCAACCAGGCCGGCGAGGAGAGTTACAGCCAGCATTCTGTTCACGTCAAGTGCGAGGACTGCGACGTGCGCCTTTAACGACACGAGTGTCCGATAGATAGGACGGGACACCCATGCTCAGCCATTTGTGAGCCATGCTTGCATCGCTGTTGGGAGCACCACTCACAAGCATGCGCGACAAATACACACGTTGTCAACTTGTGGAATTCGGAAATAATCACACGCATGTGTTGGTATCATCGGAGCTGCACGTTTCAGATATCACCCCACGGATAAGACTGTACTGCACTGCACTGCCAGTATTCATTCATCTGTCCAGTTACTGCTGCCTGGAGACTGGTAATAGGATTGAGGATGCCGAAATTTTTGAATTCGTCCTGAACGTCGATGCAAACTTGAACCGTGGATTGAAAAGGTTGGATATCCAAAATCAAATTGAACGGATCAAGGGGTGGACTGAGCCGTCGGGGAACCTGCTGCGCGAGCAATCGTTATGAGTAAGTAAATGTTGAAGAAAGTGGGCACGCCGCCGCGGGGCGAGCTCAGGCGAAGCCCGCGATGCAGATGATGGAGATCATATGACTCACCCCGAAACCGCGCGGTATTTGGATCTCAACTTCGGTCGTGCCTGGGAGGGCGTTGTTTTCCTTGTCTATTGGTGGTGCTGAACTTGGCCTGATATAACGGTTGAGAGGTCGGGCCAAAACTGTAAAAGCTTGATCTAGATCACTAATTCACAG